CGGAGACGGAGCCAGAGCTCGGAGCTGGTGCTCCATGAGCAGCTCCATGATGGGGAGAAGCCCCACACGTGCGTGGAGTGTGGGAAGAGCTTCAGGCGGAACTGCGACCTGATTGTGCACCAGAGGATCCACACTGGGGAACGGCCCTACGAGTGTGGGGAGTGTGGGAAGAGCTTCAGAGAGAACTCCAGCCTGGTCAGGCACCAGAGGATCCACACTGGGGAGAGGCCCTACGAGTGTGGGGAGTGTGGGATGTGCTTCAGCTGGAGCTCCCACCTGATCACGCACCAGAGGACCCACACTGGGGAGAGGCCCTATGAGTGTTCCAAGTGTGGGAAGGGGTTTCAGCACAGCTCCCATCTCCTCCGGCACTATTGGATTCACAGAGAAGAGAGGCCCTTTCAATGCCTCGACTGCGGGAAGGGATTCAAGCGCAACTGCCACCTCATCAGGCACCGGCGCATCCACATTGGGGTGAGGCCCTACGAGTGTCCCCAGTGTGGGAAGAGCTTCTCACAGAGCTTTCACTTGACCCAACACCAACGGAGGCACCGGTAAGGGAAGCCCTGCGAGTGCCCCGAGTGCGGGCAGAACTTCGTGCGCTGCTCCAGCTCCATCCCCCACTGGAGGAGGCACTTTGGGCACAGCCCTGGTCACTCACATTCCCTGTGATCCATGTTGGGAACACACCTGGCTGCTTCGCCTTTCGGTTTGGCCTTAATTTTCCTCTGCTTCACATTCATCCTTTAAAAACACCCAAAACTGGGTTAAATGAAGGAAGTTGATTGAATATATCAGCAGTTCCATAATTTCTCAGTTGTTTTTAGAGGGAATTTAGGATTAGGGGACGCGTTCTGTGTTGAGTACTGCTTTTGCTAAGAGGCAGGAATTTGATCTCACCCTTCTTGTGTTGATAAGAACTCCTCCCCTGACCCAAACCCCAACTCCACCCTTGGGATACCCTATAAAAATTCCACAGCCCTGCCTTTCCCCTGCCTTTGGGAGTTAAGAAATGGATTCCCAAAGGATCAGCCCTATTCTCAGTGTATTCCAAGAGGATGTACCTGTTTCCCTGGATTCCCAGAAGATTCTGACTCTGTCACTGGTTTTTTTTGTTTGTACTACTGCAGTCCTGTTTTTATTTTTTCCTAATAAAAAGCTGTTATTTCTACTCCCATATCTTTGCCTGAGAGCTCCTTAATTTCAAAAGTATTAATATTTTTAGAGTTTATAATAATAATAATGATAATAGTAATAATTAGTAGTAGTAGTAGTAGTAGTAAAAGGGAGGGGGTTTACATTTTCTATTTCAGTGGAGGCTCCTGAAATGGGGAGACACCCCCAAGGCTGGGCCATGTAAAATAGTTCCTGTAATAGGTAAACTGGTTTATGGATATGCAACAGGCTGATGTAATTAAAACTAGATTAATTAGGGGTGTCCGCAAAAATAACTAGGGTGGTCTTCGTGGCCAGAACAACTTTTGCTAAGTTGTCCTTGTCTCGCACAATATCAGCCTGTTGCATATTCATCAAGTTTTTGCATATCCATATAGTACTTTACATATTCCATGAACAAAATTGGCTTCATCCTGTTTGGGGGTCCCACCTCCCTCCCAGCTCAATTTGGGGTGTCCCATCCCCCTCCGAGCTCCCTTTTGGGATCCCATTCCCCGCCATCCCAATTTGGGGGTCCCTCTGATTGGCTCGAAATTACCCCGCACGGTCTCTGAGTATTTCCCGCAGTGAGAGGCCTTGGTCTGTTGCTGGCAAGTGATGAGTCAGAGTCGGGCCGGGCGCTGATTGGCTGAAAATCGCTGAGCGGGGCCAGTGCTCTGAGTTTGTGCCCAGCAAGTGGAACGTCATCAGTGCCACACGTTCAGATTGGTCGGGATCAATTTTGGTGTGGGGATGGGAGGAACTGGGGTTACTTGGGGTTTACTTGGGTTTATTTATTGTTTGTTTGGGGTTTATTTGTGGTCATTTATGGACTATTTAGGGTTTATCTTGGGTTTTACTTGGTTTATTTGGAAGTATTTGGGTTTGTTTGGGCTTATTTGGAATTATCTGATGTTCTTGGGGTTTATGTTGTTGTATATGAAATTATTTTTTAGTTGTATTTGAAATTATTTGAGGTTTTTTTGACTTAATTTGGAAGGTTTTTTTGGTTTTTTGGGGTTATTTGGATTTGTTTGGGGTTATTTGGCGGACTTTTAGGTATTGTTTGGAGGTTTTTGGGGTTTATTTCAAGTATTTTGGGGTTATTTGGGTTATTTGGGGTCATGTGGGTTCAAAGAACTGGGAATATTTCTCCTGCAAAAAATGTGAATTTTTCCTTAAAAATTCGAGACTTTTTCCCCAAAACACAGGGAATGTTCCCTTAAAAATCACCGGCTTCTCCCAGCCCATAGCGGCGCACCCCGCCCCAAACCATCCAATCACCGCGGGTCTCTCCTCAGGAACACCGGCCTCCCCATGTGCCGTTCCAACCAATCACCACAGATCTCCCCTCTGCTACCCCTGCCTCTCTCAAGCTAAACCAACCAATCACCGGGCATCTCCCCTCAGCAGCGCCTGCCTCTCTTTCCTCAATATACCCAATCACTGGGCGTCTCCCCTCGGCAAAGCCCGCCTCCCTTGCCCCTCTCCTGTCAATCGCTGAGCCCTCTACGAAACCAACCAATCACCGGGCGTCTCCTCACAGCAACTCCCGCCCTCCCCGCACT